CCGGAGTTAAACCATGACAGAAGGGTAAATAAGTATCAAAGGGTTGGGTTGTTTCACTGGTCACCATCCACGCTGTGAACTGACTACGGCACTTTGCTGAATGTAATCTGTTAGTTTTCTTCTGTGGAGCTCCTTGAAAAGGGTCTCTGGCTTCCTTTGGAATTTGCCTTTGCCAGCTCTGGCATGATGTCTATTTGTAAAATAATAGTTTAAAAGTGTAATCCTAAACTCTTGCTTCTCTGGACAGACCTTACGAAAGGGTTTCAGGTCCTTGTCATACGTGTGTAACTAAACTGGTTTCTTACTACAAAAAGTTCTTTTCTGAGGAATGGACTAGAATCTCTGAGCTGCTGAGTACTCGTTTGGGTTCCATCCGTTGAGTTGGCGAAGCAGTTAACCGTGCTCCTCTGTCTTTACCCCAGGCAGGGGTATGTTGGCACTTGCTTGTTCTGAGTTCTTGCAACACGTTCTCTCCTTGCTCTGCTGTCTTACCCAGTGGAAATGCAGTGTGACGCACGGGCTTACCCAGTTTTTTTCGCTGTTTAGGTGATCTTAAGGTGACTTAGTGGATTACTGACTTAATAGCTGAATGGTTCACTACCTGAAAACACAGGAGAAGTATGGCATCCTTTTGCTGTCAAAGTACAATTAATAACACGCTAGATGTGGCAGTCGCTTCATTCTGAATGGGTTTTGAATTCTTTTGGGATAAGCACAGACCCTGGTGATAACTAGGGTTTCAAATGTGAAGCTGAAAACTGATTTTTGCCCCTTGATAAGGGGCAAAATGATACAATGATGACTATAACCTCATTGTTAAACGTGTTGTGCTGAGCATAGACATTGCTAGCTCAGGACAAGAAAGCTAGTTCTGATTTTTATTATAACCCTGACATGTTCATTCCTTTTTGCAGACAGTCATAGATGCCCATATCTTTCCAGCTCTTATCAATATTTTGCAAACGGCTGAGTTTCGGACAAGGAAGGAAGCTGCCTGGGCAATCACAAATGCAACATCTGGAGGCTCTGCTGAACAGAACAAGTATGAAATAGTTGAAATCTTTCAATGCAATTGGGGGAATTTAATGTTTGTGCAAAAAAATCAAACTAATAACCTAGAAACTGGGAGACCTTTCCATATGCTTCCAGTGTTTGTCTCCAGAGAGGCCACACCTTTGTGTTCAGTTGTGAATAAGCCATTTCTTTCCTTTAGGGAGAAATCCCGTAAGAATTTCAGCTGCAATACTTACTTCATTAGTTGAACCATTTCTCCTGTATGGAAAAAATCAATACAACTTTGACCACCAGGATAAGAGTTTCATTGTAGAGTGTAACAAAGTGCTTTAGCAGTCTGGAGAGGAACAGTTCAGCCCCTTATACCAGTACATTATGCTTATATGCAATTTGGTATAACATTATAAAATTATGAACATGTTAAATTAATACAGTTGATATGAATACATAATATTTATGAATTATAGTTCATATATATACACTGACATATATATACTGTCAGTATATATATACTGACATTTATAATACACATTACATTATTTCATATCTACATATATATATAAAGGTACTTTAAAGTTATTTTCATTGTTTCAGCAGAACTGACTAGATACAAATAGATGTCTGTAATTTCTCCAATCGAGTTGATACTTTATCTGATTGTTTTGATTCTTAGACCTTCATGCTAAGCGCTTAAATGGCTACACCAGTAATAATTTACAGACAATTTACTGGGTTCTATGTGGTGTCTTTCAGGTATTTAGTAGAACTGGGATGCATCAAACCACTCTGCGACCTCCTTACAGTAATGGACTCAAAGATTGTGCAAGTAGCACTGACTGGGCTGGAGAACATCCTGAGGCTTGGAGAGCAGGAATCCAAACGCAGCGGCACTGGCATTAATCCCTACTGCGCTCTTATTGAAGAAGCATATGGTATGAGCAAACCATCCGTGGAAGTCAGGGGTTAAAGCAGTGATTGCAAACCCAGTAGCGTTTCAGTAGAGCAAATACTAATCTGAAAATTAACTGCTTACAAATGTGCTCCGTCTTGTACATTATCCTTGTCTGTATGTAGATGGCAGAGCGTGTGCATATCTTAATTTCTTTTGACCCTGAGGGAGCCTTCTGGGTGTCATTCAGCCTCGATATCTTCCCTCCTTAACGGATGAAAGTTCAGGTGCACTTCTCGGTCGCTCAGGTTTCAAACCTTTCCCTGGCCTGTAGAATTATGGCAGCAGCAGCAACTTCCTTGTTTGCCTTTGCTGTGCTGAGGTTCTGGCATGTAACAGCATCATCTCACCCCACTTCTGAGGTACCGCTGCTCTTAAGGTTCGTTTCCTTGTTGATTGGCAAGTACTTACTGAGAAAAATGAAAGTGGGTTATCAAGAGCTGTGGTATCAAAGATAGTTTAGCTGGCTGTATTGACTACAAGGCCTGAGTTTGCCCATCTGCTTAATGTCTGCCCAGAAACTGGTTGCATGAGTTTAACTGCATTGTATGTGCACATGATACAGATCAGGTAATGGGGTCTCCATCCTCGGAAGTTTTGAAGACTTGGTTAGACACAGCTGACCTAATCTGGTCTGGGCTGAAGGCTGGACTTGGTTTCAAGTTGGAAGAGATTTCTAGTAGTTATGTGATTACGTAGTTGAGGTCCTTGTAAACAAAGCACTGTGAACACACTTTTGGGAAACCTGGTCCTAAAAGTCTCTCTGGACAAAGCCTTTGAGGCCTTGGTTTTTACACATTCAAGCTTGTTGATTTGATTTTTTTTGAGTGAGGGGGGTAGAGGCAGACCAAAAGTATGAAACACATCGCACAGTTACAGGGAACTCTGTAGTTCAACCTGGTTTTCCTTAGGTGAGGGGAGTACAAGTTGGGTAAGGGTGTCTCCATAGTGGGACCTGTTCTTTCTGAAGGTAGGAGAGAACGGTCGTGGAACCTGACATTCACGACAGACTGAAAACGGTCGTGGTCATATGCTTTCACCAAGCTGCAACTTTTATGTGCTTCTTATCTCTGCAGGCCTGGACAAGATTGAGTTCCTGCAGAGCCATGAGAATCAAGAGATTTATCAGAAGGCCTTTGATCTGATCGAGCACTACTTTGGAACAGAGGATGAAGACAGCAGCATTGCCCCACAGGTGGATCTCAGCCAGCAACAGTACATCTTCCAGCAGTGTGAGGCTCCTATGGAAGGCTTCCAGCTCTGAGGTGCCCCTGTGCTGTGTGCTCCTCTACGTAGCCAATCCTGTTGTCGAGCCACAAGCCACCCGTGGAGTGATTCTCTCAATGTTTTCCATAACCCTGTTTGCGCTCATTCGCTTGCCTTGTGCACATGCTCTTACATACATCTGGAAAACTTTTAGCTCTCCATGGCAGGATGCCCTCTCCTTGGCAAGGGGTCGCCAGAATCACCCTTCTCCTCTAGATTCTGAACCTCTCCACTGTCACCTTCGTGGAGTTGAGGCACTTTTCTATACTTTGAGATATTCCATGCTCCTATTACAGGAAAATAATCCCTCCTCCACTAGCCCCTGCACCCCTGGCATCCAAGATAAGGCTGCCTTTCTCACGTATTTGCTGCAGCGTGTGCCTGCAGTCCAGGGAGACATTGAGACTTTCTGAGAACGTAGCTGAATTCATTGCCCACACTCGTCCCTGGATGCCTCTTTGGATGGCTGTGAGATGCATTAAATCTTCACGTGTGCAACCTATCTACTTTGCTGTATGTGCCAGCTGGGTTTATTGGCATATAGAACACGTTAACAAATAATGGAGTAAGTTCTCTATCCCCCGCAACAACAGGCTGCAATGGACATGTTTTCTGGTTCTTAAGAATACTGAACACACCTGGCCCCATCCCTTCTCAACACTGAGCTCCCAAGCTGGATTGCAGACCACTGTGGAGATTTGTATACCTTCCCAGCCTTTCCTCTCCATCCACGAGAAAAGAGCCTGTGAATAGGTCACTCTTACCACCTCCCCCGAAATAACTTTCCAAGCCAGCTTCTAGAATGGAGAAACAACCCACACTTCTGCTTGCCGGCAGAGTATGATCCAGCCGGGCCTTCCTTAAAAATCAAGTCCTTCCTGACTTTGTGCTCCAGAGTCTGGTCCTTGGTATTCTAGTTATGGCTGAAAAATCCCTGTCTGCCTCTCTCCGTTTTTACACAGCGTGACTTGAACAGATTTACCTTCTGAATACAGAAATCTGAGTTTGTAGAAGTTAGCACAAGGAGCGCGCTAGGTCTCCTTTTGGTTTTCACAGGACAGCAGCTTCCTCTCCAGCTCACCTGATTAAAATAAGAGTCCTCCTGGTCAAGCCCCTTATTTAACAGCTAAAATGACACTACATTCAAAAGATAGTAATAAGACACCCGGATCCGCCTGGCCCTTTCATTTCATCTTTTCCTTGTGCTGTTTACGGGACTTCAGGTAAAGGAGGGTGGAACACGTGGTTCCTCCGGGTGACATCTGTCAGGCATCGCTGACTGCCCTTCTGCTAGCGGCATGCTCTTGGCTCCGCAGCCTGCTTGGCTGGCAGACGTCTGATGCAAAGGCCAGCCACCCCTCGCTGAGTTCAGCTGACACCGACACCAAACCCTTCGCGCCACAGGGGAGGTGCCACCTGAGCGAAAGTGGCGGTTCCGTTTCTGTCAATGCAATGGATTCTCCAGGCCGTCCGCTCCCCCCCACCCCTGCATCGGGCTATGTTCTTTCAAGCTGTTTTGGATGCTTGGAACACACATTTGTCCAGTGTAAACATTTCAGAATCGCCACTGACGACTGCAGCGTGACGTACGTGTGGCAAAGGTTAGTGGCAGAACTGTCTGCGAGATCCTCCTTAGGACTCCTCTCAGTGACAGGCCGCTGCAAAAGCAAAACCAGCCCCTTGGATACAGAATAATAAAGTACGTAAATCACTTGTCAAACTGCTGAGAGAAGCTAGGCAAAAGCCTGAACATCAGCTCTCTGATCTAAAGAGTCTTCGGTTCTGTCCGTGCTTCAGGATGGAGACTCTGGCCCGCGTGGCCACAGCAGAAGCCACCTGCTGCCTCCCTAGCTAAGCCGGTTGGCCTCCACCTTCCCTCTCCCAGTTATTTTCTCTAGTGCTGCTTTGTGCTGAAGGAACATTTAGTTTACTGCACTTGATCTGTAAATGGACTTCGATTCTTTGTAATATTAGGGGGTCAAATTTGGTGGTTAATTTAAAAAAAAAAAAAAGGCAAAAAACCCCTCAATGTTGCCTTTACATCACATATAAATAACTGTGTTTCTCTTTTCTTGAAGGGTGATAGAAGCACTGATTAGTAGCAAAATCTTGTTTTAGCTTTTGGATTTTTTTGTGCTGGATTTTTTTACGTGTAAATTTCCAATAACATGTCATTTCTATAAGATTTGTTTAAAATCATGTACCTCTTATTGGATGGTATAAAAATGCTACATATTTTGTAAACAAATCTGAGCAAGGTGTGTGTGCATATATTCTGTATATTCATATATGTATATTCTGTGTATATATACACATTAGTGTATATATACATATATACACACACACGTGTATATATATACACACATGCACATGTGTGTATACATATACATAGCTATATATCTATATATCTATATATATATAAGTGTTTTCTCTTCCAGGCTAGTGAAAACAATGTGGTGCATTTGGCGTTTCCCTCCCCTGCCCCCCAAGGAAATAATGACAATTGCCTCTAAATGAGTGAATTAAACCAGAGTCCATTTAAGCTGAATGGTGTGCCTTCCTGTGTAAGGAGCCTGGCCAGTGTTTGTTACATTTGCAGTGGATATGTGAAGTCAGAGCAGATAAGTATAAATCTTTACACTTGGTATGTTCGTTTGAAGTGACAGGCCTGGTTGACACAGGTGATGTTGTTGTCATATATACTTAGACTGTGTAAGGCATTTGACTGGTACTGCATAATCTTTTGACTGAAAACTAAAACAATACAAAGATCAACATGGCACACATTAAATGGATTAAAATGTGGCTAACTCATAGGTCTCACTTTAATTTTAAATGGTGCTTAGTTGAGTGTGTTTCCATCAGGATCTTCCAGCAGCCAGTTCTTGGCCTTGCTTTGCTTAGCCTTACTAACGTGTCGAAAAGAAACAAAATCTGCTTTTAATACAGGCTACAAATTACCTGAGTACGGAAGGGAGATCAGACTTGGGAAAGGGACAGCTCACCGCTACAGACCGATCAGAATTACGTGGTAAGCCAAGGGCAACTCAACCGTTTGCCTTTTAACGGAGCCAAAAGCGCAGCGTAACGTTTCTCCCCTAACAAATAACGCTCAGGCCGCAGGCGAAGGACCCTGTTCTGGAGGAAAAGTGCCTCTGAAAACGAGGATCGTTACGTTACCGCTCGAACGCTGCTTCCTCACGCGATTCTGTGTGGCTACCTTAACGCTCGGAGAAAGGAGTCTTTTAATAGAATGGAGCATTTATGTTAAGCTGATATTTGGCACTGGTGAAACTTTTCTCACAGGAGCGCTTTTGGTGTTGCTATCGGCAACAAAAAGGAATGCTAAAAAATTGGGAACAGCAACGGCTGCGGAAGGGTTGAAAGTTCCATTCAGATGAGAAACAAGGCACTTCTTACCCTCAGGAGCAACCAAGTGTTAGACTGAGGTGACAGTAATAACGTCACGTCCCCTGCTAGAAACACGGAAACCAGTATTCCCCGCTTTCCTGAAGGATGTCCTGTATTTCCCTGCTTTCCTGAAGGATGTGCCGATGCTCAAACAGGAACTCTCTCCATGAATGCCTCTGGTTTCCGCTTGAAGGTCACGCTGCCTGTTGAATGAGCTGTTCTTGTTTTGTGCGTAGGTTGGGGGCAGTGTGGTCTTGTGTAGAGGATAGGCCAGGGCGCTGTTGGCCTTCTTGGTTCTTCTCTCAGCTCTGCCCTGTAGTGTGTAGTGCCAGAAAAGTAACCGCAAGTATCTTCTTCTCCCCTTATCCTTAAGATGGAAATCTGCTTGTGGAGATCCAATCTAAGCACCTTCCAGGAGCCCCACGAGCTCCTAAGGTGAAAAGATCCATGAGTACAAGAATCTCTTGAGTTGTTCTTCCAGCATCAGTTAAACTTTTAGGAGAAAGGAAGATATTGAACTACCTGGAATTGCTATCCAGCCATCCTGTCCGCAGACCTGTTGTGCCTCCGAGGGCTGGGTATTTGTTGGGGCAGCAGAGAGGAACTATCGTCCTTTCTGACAGAACAAGGGGTAATGGGTTTAAATTGAAAGTGGGGAGGTTTAGATTGGATATGGGGAAGAAATTCTTCCCGGAGAGGGTGGTGAGGTACTGGGACAGGTTGCCCAGAGAAGCTGTGGATGCCCCATCCCTGGAAGTGTCCAAGGCCAGGCTGGATGAGGCTTGGAGCAACCTGGTCTAGTGGAAGGTGTCCCTGCCCATGGCAGGGGGGTTGAAACTGGATGATCTTTATGGTCCCTCCCAACCCAAACCATTCTGTGATTCTGTTGGTGAAGCTCCCGGTGGGATGTGGCAGGCAGGGGTTGCTGCCTTGGATTCAGGAGGATGCAACAAATGATGGGCAGGTTATTGAAAGCCTCATAACTAAGCCAGGAGCAGTGCCTGGGGCTTCGGGGGAGACACCAAACACACAAACAATCCTTTGAGGCAACTGCTGCCTAGAGACTTCAGCCAGTTCCTAATTCCTGCATTGGTTCCTTGATGCCACCGGCTGCTGGTGCTCAAAGTCCCTTCCCTTTGTCTTAAGGGAAGAGAGGAAGACCCCGACCTCAGAAAACCTACGTCTTCTTGAGCCTGCATTTCTGTAACTGTCAGCACCGAGACTGTGACCCAAGTCCCCCCACCCAGTCCTAAACGTGACAGTGCTCCCAGGCCTGCAGCTCTTTGCCTCTCTGAGGATTTACAGAACAGCTGCTTTACCTCTGTGCCAGCTTTAAGTCATTCCCACATCTCCCAGCATGGTTTCTCTGCTTCTGGGATCAGCACAACACACCCTTAGTACTTGGTAGGAAAACGAAGAGGCCCTTTTTGTGTGCTGCTACGGCTGTGTCCGCAGGGCTGCTGCGTGCGCAGGAGGTGCTCGAGTCGTCAGGTTGACTGTTGCACCAGGAAGTGCCTGTTGCCTCTGGAACAGATACGGCAGTATGGCAGATGGTACAGGACTGAGAATTTGATTTTTTTGGAATACATGCGAGTGGTGTTGCAGGCCAAGCCCAAGGGGAGAAAGAAAATGAAAGGCTGTTTATGGGCTTAGCGTGTTCTGCATCGGGCCCTGTTAGAAGGCTGTGGGCCGAGGCTATGAGCTAATTGTATGGTCCGTGGCAGTGTTCCTCAGTTCTCCAGTCAGCTAGGCTGCCTGGGCCAGAAAACGTGTTCTACGTGGTCCTTCTGGCAAGCCACTGGGTCAGTTTTTGAGTAAACCACCTGGAAATTTAAGCAAAATGAAAAACTGGTGACTGCTGCTGCTCTAGGGTGGTGCTTTCTAAGTGCTATTTTAGGTATTGTTTGAAATATTTTACCACCTGGATGGTTTATGTCCTAAATGAGACGAGGTACCTGCCAGCTCTTTTCACAGGGTGCGCTTGGAGTGGCTTATTGAAAGGGGGGATGCTTCCGATAGATTCATCGTTTCAAGCTCTGCGCTAACAAAACATAAATGACAAGTTTCTCTTCGACGTAACCCAGAATACAGTCAGAAGTTCTCCTTTTCGGTCTCGTTTAATACATACACGAGCACAGGCATGCGCTCTGGGCCTGCTGGTGTGGCACAGGACCAGAGCTGTCACGGCAGGACCTGTTCGCATACCCGCGGGGGAACGAAGCGTGGTTCGCGTTCGGCGCTGAACGCGTGGAGACGCTGTGGAAGCCCGCTCTGCCGGACTGACGGCGTGCCTGCCGAGAATCTGAAGGGCAGAAGGCCTGTGGCGGAGTGAGCGGCGGTACCCAGAAATGCAATTCGTGGAAAAGTGGATGGCAGCAGCTCTTCTCTCTCTCTAAAGGCCTGGAGAGGATTGCACTAGGTACTTTACTGCTTCACTTCTCCAGGTATGCAGACAAGATTTACTCAGCATCGTTACAGCTTTTAATGTAGTTTCAGCAATAGCGCTGATTTTTAGTAGCACAGGAAAAAGTTGTTGAAAAAGTAATCTTCCTCCTACTGTCCGAGTTCAAACTGAAGCTGTCGAACACATACACCTCTTACCTCTTCTGCGGTGTCCCCCGGCACCACCTAGCAGGCAGCCCTGGGATGGAACGCAGTTTCAAACAGCCCTGAAGGTCCCAATCCGTGTTTCCTTCCAAATGAGTTGAAGGGAGGAGGAGGAATACTGGTCTCCAGTTGGGGCAGGCAGTTCAGCGTGAGTGGCGCGTGACCCTCGTGGGATGGATGCTAGAAATAGGGCTGCTGGGAGTCGCTCTTGCTGGGATTACTGGGCCTGCTGCTTCTAAAACTTGAGGCAGGTTTCATATTAAGCCTTAGGAGGATTAGTATGAAAGCACAGATGACGATTTAAAGGGGGAAAACCGCAAATAAATCCAATTGTAGTTTGGAAAAAGCCTGGCAGCAGAGAGCAGAAATGCCTGCCTGCCTTTCTCATACTCACGTGCCTCTAAATAGTAAACCTGAGGATAGGTTGAAGCTATTGCTCAATATTCCTCAAAATATTCATCTCTGTTCACATTCACGTGGACATTCACATTGCGACCAGCTCTGATCTCAAAGCCATGAGGTTGTCAGCTACAACGCAGCGGTTCTCCAGATTGCCACTGCCCTTTCCTTCCCCCTTCTCTCTTCATCAGAGGCAGGCACTTCTCCACAAAAAGCAATCCTTCACTTACACAAATGCAGCCAGCCTGTCTTGGGCTTTGGACAGGTAAGCACGCTTTCTAGTAACTTACCAGCATTTTGATGATGGAAATGCAGGTGATACAATGCCAACGGCATCCTGGCCGGCATCAGGAACAGGGTGGCCAGCAGGAGCAGGGCAGGGATCGTCCCCCTGTACTGGGCACTGGTGAGGCCGCACCTTGAGGCCGGGGGTCAGTTCTGGGCCCCTCACGACAAGAAAGACACTGAGGGGCTGGAGCGTGTCCGGAGAAGGGAACGGAGCTGGGGAAGGGTCTGGAGCACAAGTCCTGTGAGGAGGGGCTGAGGGAGCTGGGGGTGTTCAGCCTGGAGAGGAGGAGTCTGAGGGGACACCTGATCGCTCTGCACAACTACCTGAAAGGAGGGTGCGGAGAGCGGGGGGTTTGGTCTGTTCTCCCAAGTGACAGGACAAGAAGAAACAGTCTCAAATTGCGCCAGGGGAGGTTTATGTTGGATATTAGGGAAAATTTCTTCACTGAAAGGGCTGTCAGGCATTGGAAGGGGCTTCCCAGGGAGGTGGTGGAGTCGCCATCCCTGGAGGGCTTTAAGAGTCGTGTGGATGTGGCGCTCAGGGACATGGTTTAGTGGTGGACTTGGCAGTGTTAGGTTAATGGTTGGACTTGATCTTCAGGGTCTTTTCCAACCTAAAGTGATGAGCATAAGCCTTTGTCAAGGAG